AAGATCCGAAAGAGCAAGCCAACATACCTAAGTGAATAAAAGTGAAACAAGTTAGAGATCATCAATCATTAATCTGGCTAGTGGCTAGGGGGAATCATACCTAAGTGAGTTCCCAACCTGTAATTAGATTAACTTTAACTATAGTTTGTTAGAGTAGTTTTAGTTCTTCCATCTTAATCTGGTTTGCTAGATAATGAACTGAAGCTGAGTAATAGTAACTCTAGAGACCCGTGGATTTGATATTTATTACTTGAGCCACTATACTGCAGTCCCTTTCATGGGTTACACTTGGCCATTGTTAGGAGTTGTATCATAGCGAGTCAGTAGCCATTTGCACCAAATCCTCAATCTCCATGACCTACCTTATCTCCCGATTGAGGCCATTGAGAAATCGAGTCATGGTTGCTTCTCGATCTTCATTGACGCGAGCTTGAATCATCAATATCTCCATATTTGAAATAATCATCCACGCTCTTCGCACCCTGTCTCAACAAGTGAAGAGCTAGATGCAGATCTCGTTGATGATGAACGGGTATGAATCTCCTCCTCATGGCTGCCTTCATTTGATGCCATGTCATGATGGGCTCCTCTTCGTGCAATCTCCGTTCAGCACCCAACTGGCCCCACAAAAAACGGCATAGTCAGTAAACTCAAGAGCAACAATGATTACCTTCTTCCATTCGGAGTAGTCGTGGCACTCGAACAAGTAATCCATCTTTCTCTACTAGTCGAGATAAGCTTCATGATCACTTCTCCCTTGAAATGATGGCACCTTAACCTTCATCCCCCTCATATCATCATCCCTATGCTGGGGATACTCTTCCTCCTCGTAGTACTCCTCATAGCCATGAGGTTCAGGAGCTCTACGTTCTTGAACTGGTGGTCGTCCTCCTCGAACCCTCACTCCTCGTCCTCGCAAGGGTTGAAGGTTATTAGGAACTAGGGTTCGTCCATGTCTCACACGCGGTGGTAGAAGTGCTTGCTCACTGGACTGATCCCACTGATTGATGTGCTCAGCCATCTCGTCAAGGCGAGCATTAAATTGCTCTTGTCGGTTTTGCAACAGGCGGGTTTTGCTCTTGTCGTCCACTACCTACCATCCAACAATCAAACACAAAATCATCATAAATCGTAACATAAATAGTGCACAATTCATACGAAAGTCGTAGTAGTATAGTACTTACTGATGAGCAAACCCAGCTTTTCTCGCTAATGACCGAACTCAAATAATGTCGTTGCACGTTTTCAGAAAAAAGTCCACAACGGTCAAACTGCAAAACCAAGATAACAGAAATGTCAATTGTGATTTGCAACGTACAGGTCGACCTGTTCACAGTCACGGTCAACCTTATTGGACAAACGGTCGACCACACGTACTAAAAAAACGTCTTACTTGTCCCAATTCTTGTCCCCAACCTTCTCTTTAGTAACAACATAATACAAGTCTTCAACTGGATTTTGAAGATTTTTGGTGAATCCTTCTAGAACCTCCACTTTCATGACCTACAAATCATAGTTAAAATTAAAGTAACATATGAACACAAACACACATTATAGATGAATATGTAACGTAAACTTACCCTGTGCTTTTCGAAAGGACTCTTAGATTCATCTTCATCGCTATCATCACTAAATAATCCCTTTCTTACAAATTGATCCTTCTGTGGAGTGGTGTAGGAGTCACTTTCATATCGCGGTCTCTTGTAATTAGGAGAGGAACCCTTGCGGGCATTCTTTGTTTCACTCTGTCAAACATATAAACAAAACAGATTAGCACTAATGATAGTAATACTAATATCTTCAATCACATATGAATATACTTGGATACCTTTAAAATGTGCTCTTTCAATAAATCGTCTATGCTCTGGTAGCAATTTTCAGAGTCATCATGGTCTTCCTCCTCTTTAGCAAAGTCAAATTTCTTTCCTTTACCATTTCTTCCGCCATTCTCCATTCGTTCTGCACTTATATCTTTGATAGCACCTTCTAGCCTCTCAAACCCGTCATGCATCATCCCAGTCAAATCTGTCAGTCGAACTGACAATTGCTCGACTTGTGTTTGACACACCACTAGCTTCTCTTGTGTGGCTTTCAACAATTTCATGATTTCACACAAATCTTGATGCAGTTTCTCATCATGCGTCATCGTCTAAACAATTTAAAGAAAAATTCAAATCATAATTCAAGTACAAATTTCTACAATTGACCAAAAAACAAAGACGTGGTCGACCTGACAAAGTATTAGGTCGACCTGGAAGACAAATAGTGACTACCACAACTCGTCAGGTCGACCTCTGTTATTCCTAGGTCGACCTATACAGCAGGAAAATAACAGTTAACAACAAAAAGTAAGTTCAAAATTAAACCGAAAAAAGGATAGGTCGACCAGATATCTGGCGCGGTCGACCTTTTCAAGCACAACAAAGTCATACAAACAAAGCCAAAGTCGACATTCAGGTTGAATAACCAAAAAAACATAAACGGTCGACCTTGAAACCCATTAGGTTGACCAATTGGGTTACCTCGCAAGTACAAAAGTCCAAGTGTTGTGGCCTAAATTCAAATACGAAGAATTGTCTCGTCAGGTCGACCTGGTTGACGTCACGGTCGACCGAATTGAATTCTGCACCCAACAATATATCAAGTTAGCCGGTGGAAATCACGCATTAAAAAAGAAGACGACGAATGCTACATTAGGTCGACCTCACCTTAGACCTGGTCGACCACTTCCAACACGTACAACAGCAACCGCGAACGATCTTCTTCACAAAGGCTCTAAGTCGGAAAAAAACCTAATTTAGACTTGGTGGCGTTGAAGGGGACTTATATTCGTATTTATAGAGATTTAGGACGTGAATGGGTCGACCCAATTCGTTTCCTTGTCCAATTGTGGAACCTTTCTGGTGTTGGAATCCATATCCAATACGGATACGGTGTGTAGGCGGTCGACCTCTTCATAATGCGGTCGACCTGTTAGGTGCACAAGGGTCGGCCTATGAGATATTTGGGTCGACCTTTCATTCTGTTAGACCACCAAAGCGGTCGACCGTATTATGTAAGAGGTCGACCGTGTCTCGGAACCCAACATTCATGAATTAGTCCATTCGGGCGACCGCATGTTGGATTCGGTCGACCGAAAAGTCCATGTCACCGTAGCAAAATCCTAAAGTATTCTGCACAATACAATAACAAAATTAGTTAGAAAATAACATTTCCCATCCATACTCTATGCAACAAAAAAATTATTTATTAACCAACATACTCTAAATTTAGTTGAAGGATAATCTTGTTCACTCAACAAAAAAATAAAAAATTAAACCTATCTTGTGGTATCTACCTTGCTAATGCACGTGACCACATCAATTCGTCCATGAAAAATTCAGTTATTTCATATTAAACTAAGTAACTATGAATGATACATATGATCAATTACCCTATAAGATATAAAAATTTAAATAATTGAAATCATCTAGAAAAATTGGTATTCTGAAATTGTTTCTTTGAAACTCACTTATCTGTCCAATTATGTCATATTATCAAGAGATTTAGGATTTAACGATTAAACAAACTAAAACTTTCAAAAAACTGGTCACTTACCGTTTGCATAACAATATCGTTGCTTTAATAGTTCTAAAAATTAATATCAAGTTAAGAATTATACATCACATCTGCACATTCAATATTGCAATTCAATATACAATATTTGAATAAATGATATTTGGGTTACAATTATAAAATTATCCTCTTATAGATATAAATTAAATTTATTATTAAAATAATTACAATATGAAAATTCAAATATCAAATAATAAATAAAGTACTTACGGGAGAGTTAGTGGGCTAGCTAACAATAGTGAAAAAGTCATATGATTTTTAGAGTTTAGGTTTTCAGATTTTGTATTTAAAAAGATGCAAAACATTTTTTCAGTGTGATTGGTAATGATTGTTGTCTTTCTTTGAAAAGGCCATGGTTCAAATATCAAGATTAATGTATTTTTATTATTATGAATAAAAAATAAATAATGATTGTGAAAACACAATTGGCATTCCTACTTTCGCTCTCATTACAAGAAATTTGGAATGCTGAAAAACTGCCCCAAATCTACTTCAATATATTTGTAGATATATAATCCCTCTCATTCATTAAATAAATAGTAATTTAATTTTTTTCATATAAATATAATTATAATGAAATTACGTTATTAATAAATAAAAGCATAGTTAATATCATTTTATAGCCTTGTACAAAATCTTTACTGCTTCACCGCCGGCCTAAGACTGCTGCCGCCTACTCACTATACAGATTTTTTTTTTTTTGTTTTGTTCTTGTTGGTAGTGGGTTGAAGCAAGGAGGTGGTTTGACGCGCGAGCAGCAGTACCGTTGAATAGATAAACGTAGCGCAGAAGCAGAAGCACCGGAGTCCGGAGTGGAGTCGCTGCGCATCCAATCAACCATGTCGCCGGCCACCGAAACCTACCGATGTGCTGCTCTCTTGCTTGCTTCTTCAAAAATTTTAAATTAGAGAAGACTGGGTAAACTAAACAGTAAACACCCCTGTCCTGCAGGCTAATGGTGCCCTTTGTCTTATCAGTCATCAGATACCCATTTGTCAATCCCACAACTCAAATCTCAATGTCATAATTAAAAAAAAGGATCCCTCCCACTCCCAGCTAGCTAATATTCCAGAAAACTAAAAGAAATTCAGACGAAACAATGCTGAGCTGAGCTGACCATTTCCCTGCTCCTCAATCTCTTTCTCCTCGATCGTCCCTCATGCAGCAAGCAAACAAAAGGGCGATGCTTCTTATCCGCACTCGTTTATCTCGACGTATTTAGCTCTACTTGTATTTGAATTTAAAGCAAAATCAATCAATCAACACAACATATCAGAATAGTTATATGCATCACCTCCCAAACTGCACACCATTTCCACTCATTTCGTTTCTTCCCCTCCTAAATTACAATCGCTCTCCTTCCACCAAATTGCTAGCCAGCCACAATGGCCAGAAACGGCGACCGGCCATATTCCCTCTCTTTTCTTATTCTTCTAATCACTCTACTCCTACCCCAATCCCTCGCCCAGCCCGCCGCCCCTGCCCCCTTTCCACCGCCGGCAAATCCTCCCCTTCCACCACCGCCGCCGCCACAGAAAGCGGCTTGCAACGGCGTCTTCGTCTCCTACGTCGCCAACGGCGGCGGCAGCGCAATCGCTCCCACCAACCCTTCCAATCAAGCCTACCGATTCTCCGGCGCCGTCACGGTCACCAACAACGACGTGAAAGAGCTGAAAGCGTGGCGCGTCTTTGTGGGCTTCCAATTCGACGAGGTTCTGGTCTCCGCGGACAAGGCCGTCCTAGACGACGGCAGCCCGCTCCCTGCTGCTGTCGGGAAAAACGGCACCGTCTTGGCTGGCTTCCCTCAGTCCGACCTCAAGACCGCAATTCAGACCGCTGGAGATTCGACTCAGACGGAGGTTCAGGTCCAGCTAATCGGGTCCCGGTTCGGGCCGCCCCCGAACGACACGAACCCGGCTCTGCCCGCCAACATCACGCTTCGCAACGCCGGCTATTCCTGCCCGGACTCCTCAACGCAAGGGAACATGCTGTGGGTGTGCTGCCAGAGAAACGACACCGCCGCAACTCCACCAACTGATCAACAAGACTCCAACTTCCTGCCCCGCCAAAGCGGCGATCTCATCATAATGTACGATATCCTGAGCGCCTACGACACCAATTACTTGGCGCAGGTGGCCATCTCCAACAACCATCCTCTGGCCCGCCTCGACAACTGGCAGCTGAGCTGGGAGTGGATGAGGGACGAGTTCATCTTCGCCATGAGGGGCGCCTACCCGCTCCTTGTGGACACCTCAGAGTGCATCTACGGGTCGCAAGGCCAGCACTACCTGCAGATGGATTTCTCCCAGGCCCTCAACTGCCAGAGGAGGCCTACCATCATCGACTTGCCTCCCACGAGAGCCAATGACTCGGCAATCGGGAGGCTTCCCTTCTGCTGCCGGAACGGGACCATACTCCCGCCGAACATGGACCCCACCAAGTCGACGTCCGTCTTCCAGATGCAGGTCTACAAGATGCCGCCGGACTTGAACAGGACAGGATTCGTCCCGCCGCAGAATTGGGGGATCGTCGGTACCCTGAACCCTGATTTCCAGTGTGCCTCTCCGCTGCAGGTGAGTGATTGTGTCTAGTTCCGTTAAAATTTGGGAAAGAGGATAAATTGTCGATCGGTGATTCTGAATTTCTGACTGCCAGATATACATACATATGTGCAGGTGAGTCCAACCCAGTTCCCTGATCCTAGTGGATTGCCGTCTACGAGAGCAGCAGTTGCGAGTTGGCAGGTGGTGTGCAACATTAAGAAGTTGGAGGAGAGCAGACCCAAATGCTGCGTCTCATTCTCAGCTTTCTACAACAGTTCCATCATCCCATGTAACACCTGCGCTTGTGGCTGCAACCAACAGAAGCAGCAGCAAACCTGCAATCCCAATGAAGAAGCCCTTTTCATGCCATTCCAGAGTCTCTCTGTCCCGTACGACAACAGGACAATTACAACCCTGGCATGGGCCGACACAAACAAGAGACCCATCCCCAATCCAGTCCCATGCGGGGACAACTGCGGAGTGAGCATCAATTGGCACCTGGTCTCGGATTTCAGAGAAGGCTGGACCACAAGGATTACTGTTTTCAATTGGGGTCAGGCCACTTTTGCAGATTGGTTTGCTGCTGTCCAGCTGGCGGACAACGCCGTGGCTGGATTTGAGGATGTTTACTCATTCAATGGAACAGTGCTGCCTAACTCCACCAACACTATATTTATGCAAGGCCTTCCAGGCTTGAACTTTCTGCTGCCACAGAGGCCTGCTGGAAACCCCAAGAAGGATTTCCCTGTTCCTGGGATGCTGCAATCGGTCATGTCATTCACCAAGAAGCACACTCCTCTAGTCGATGTGGTCAATGGCGGGGATGGATTCCCGACTAAAGTTGTGTTTAATGGCGAGGAGTGTGTGCTTCCCACGTTCCGTCCCAGTCACGGCCATCGAACGGCAGCCAGCATAAGCCTTGTTCTCTGCCTCGTTGTAACTCTAGCTTCGTTGGTGAGATATTGATAATCCATTTATTGGGTCGTCATTGTTTTGCCTCGTCATGTGTCATTGCCCTTGTTCATTCGTTTAATCTTTTGTTGGTTTAGTTGTTGGGGAACTCCGTGGGATGAAAAGCGGAAAGAAAGAAATATATGTAGTAGATATTACATGTTGGAGAATTCAGCAGGCTATGGTGGATAGAGATGAAAGAGGTTTGACAATATAGTATGTGACTTTTTCATGGTCCTTACGATGAAAAAACATTGTATTTAATTTAGTACCATTCTATTCAATTCAATTCCCATACATTCTACTCTGTTTATTGTTTTGCTCCCACAAATGGGTATGTGAACTCAAATGGAACAAACTCACAAAGTTATCATTGAATGAAAACAATGAAAGTAAGTACAAAGGTTTTACCTTTTAGATCTGGCCTCCACCAACTCAACTAATCCCTTGACATTTGATTTCCGCTAACAAGATACCACTAACTTAGCTAACAAACTAATATACTTGATCTCCAAGCTTAACCCACTAAGAGACTCGACTTGGACCTAAATGACACAAAACAAAACTAATGGACCATAGAAGTAAAAGACCAGGACGACAAAGTTTTGTTCTATCAACTACACACTAATTAAAACAACGCAGTTTTGCTTCTTTATTCAAACTTCAGCTTTCCGAGTTCGATCTTTCCTTCAAGCTTCATCTTCAGCTGACAAATCATCGACTAAAGTGAAGTCAATCATCAGGCTTCAGTTCACTTGATCTTCAATCTTTCCCTTTCCATTGTGCCTTGCCATTTCCACAACTCCAAACTTTGTTCATGAACTCAAAGGCTTCAAGTTTGACTGCCTTGACATTATATAAGCAGCTTGCTCTTCTGTCCCACAGTAAACCAATTCAATTACTTCTTCTCTTGCCAAACCTCTTAGAAAGTGAAAGAAAGCTCATTTATGTGCTTAATTATGCCATGAAGAACTTGATTCTTGGATAGCTTTATTGTGGTGCTGTAATCACAAAACACTTTTGTAGCACCTTTGACACTCTCTTCCTAGCCCATCTTTTCATAATTCTCTTTAACCATACACACTGAGCAACACTATAGGAGGCAACCACAAATTCAACTTCTCTGCTGGAGAGATTGAACACTGGTTGTTTCTTTAAAGCCTAAGAAATCATTCCTCCGGCCAAGAAAAATGCATACCCACTTGTGCTCTTTCAATCATCCAAATCACCAGCATAGTCACGACCACTATAACCTTCTAAACAGTCTTCATCATTGCCCTTTTGATACTAGATCCCATGTGCCATTGTTCCTTTGAAATATATGAGAACCCTTTTTGCTTATAGTATGTGTTGCCTTGTTGGTTGTTCCATGAATCATTTTCCAGTTGCTCCTTGTTGGTTGCCTTTTTGCTAAGTACATAATATTTGGTCGATTTCCAGTTGCACGGAGGAGGCTACCAATCAACTGTTTGTATTCTTATGGATTTGCATGAAGTGTATCACCTACCTTATTTAACTTGATTATGGATTTTTTACATGGTTGCATTCAAGCATGTTGAACTTCTCGAGAATCTCTCTTGAATACTTATGTTGTGAGATGAAAATACCTTCTTGTATTCGAGTAATTTTTGCTTCTAGAAAGTATTTCATGCGGCCTACGCCAGTCATCTCAAATTCTTGCTTCATGGAGACCGTGAACTCACTAATCAGACTTTGACTGTGAACTCACTTTGAACTCATACAAGTTGAACAATAGTATCTTACCTTCCTTTCTTTTTATGAACAAAGTATGTTTATATGTACTTTTTTCAAAACCAGTGCTTAAGTAATAAGTCTCAATTATGCTGTACCAAGGTCTAGGAGATTACTTCATACAAGAAAATGCCTTGTTCAGTTTATAGACTTTTTTTTTACTCTATGCAATCACAAATCCTTGTGGTTTCTCAACATAAATTTCCTCTATTAGTGTTCCATACAGGAAGTCACTCTTTACATAGAACTGATAGATAGTAAGTCCATAGTGAGCAGCTAGAGCCAAGAGTGTCTTGACTGTATCCCACTTTGCAACAGGAATAAACACTTTAATGTAATGAGTACCAGCCTTTTGAGAGTAACCTTTTGCTACCAGCATGGCATGGAAGTTGTCCACATAGCCATCTTCCTTAATTTTGGTTTTCAAAATCCATTTCAAATAAATTGAAACTACATCAGGTGGTAGCGTTGTGAGGTTCCATGTATCATTCTTCTCAATTGATTTCATTTCTTCTTTCATTGCTTCATTCCACTTGTCATCCTAAGCAACTTCTTCATAAGTCTGTGGGTCACTGTTGACTGCTACCATGGCCCACCTGTCAGCATATGAGAAGTATGTGCGGTCATATATAGATCGATGAGGTGGTCTTTTCTCAATTTGGAACCCAGTCCCAAGTTAGGTAATCCTAGACTGTGTATTTGACACTCAATATCTTTCTCTTCCAATTTTGATTCAGATTGAATTCCAATTACAATTTTGCGTTGTGATGGTGTTTTTTCTGGACCAGAGTTGTTTTGTTGACCCTGAGTATCTTGAGATACTGTAGGATCTTCTGTAGCGTCTTCTTCAACATCAGATTCATAGAAATCATCATCATTTTCCTCCCAACTCAACTTGGTTAAGAGTGGTTGTAACTCATAATTCTATAAACAACCTTTTGATTCGTCAAAGACAATGTTTCTACTAATCACCACCTTATTGGTTATGGGTTAATACAATACACTTTTTTTATCCAGCTTCTTTCTCGGCATTTCTAAAGTGTGCACAAATGCATCACAACCAAACACCTTGAAATATGTTCCAAATGGAGGAATACCTGGCCACAATTACTGAGGAGTTTTTTCTGCATTTGCAGTTGTTGGACTTCTGTTCAGTACATGTGAAGTCCAAACTACTATGTTAGGCCATAAGAATGCAAATACTTCTATCTTGAAGCTTACATCATACCATGCTCAAGGGTGAGAGCAAAGTCAGTTGTCTCCTAATTCCTTCATTCTCACGCAACTATTTGGATTCATTAAAGCATGAAATCTGCTCCCCTATCTATTCTCAGACATATTAATGATAGACCAATTTCCTTCTCTACTTTCAGTTTAAACTTTTTGAAATGCTCCAAAGTTTCAGACTTGCATTTTAGAGATAAACCAACAACTTCTTACTGAAATCATCTGTTAAGGTAAAGATGTATATTTTACCTCCATTTAAAGTTGGTGTGATCGGCCCACACAAATCAGCATGCATCGGTTGAAGGTTTTGTATGGCTCTCAAGGTGCTTTTCCTTTGACATGGTTGCCTGTATTGTTTTCAAGCATACATGTTGAGTAGACTCCAATGGTTCCTTGCAGGGATGGCAGGTTCTGGACCAACTTCTTTTTATGGAGTTGAAGAATGGCAGTTGACTCGCCGATACCGTCACACTAGAAAGTAGCCAAGTGTAACCATGAAGATATAAATTTAGGGTTCTTCATACCTAGGTGAGAGATGGAGTTTACTCCATAGAGAGAGAAGAAAACAGAAATAAGAGGAATTATACTTGATGCAACCCTGGGGGGTTGGATTTTAACCAAAGTACGCAGCAACACAATCAATCCAAGGATTGGATTGATTAAAACGAAATTCGAACAAAAAACAAGGATGTTCTTGGGTGTTTGGATAAAAACGGAATCAAACGTGCAATCTTTCACGTGGAAGAAAGCTCGAATGATATAAAGGTAGATGCCTGGCCATGATCAACGCGTTCTTAATCGATACAAGAGCTCAACGAGCTTGGAATCCACCAAAGCTCACACAAGTACGCAAACTTGCAAAAACCCAAAGGTTCAATTTCAAATGATCAAATTCTAACTATTACAACGAAAACTAGAGGGCTTTTATAGCCAAAGAAAACCTAATACAATCCTAAACTAACAAGGAAACCAATTAGAACAGGAAAATAGCTAAAGAATTCGTGTAAAACAAGGTAACTTGCAGGACAAGAAACTGACTTAAAACACAAGAAATTATGCTTAGGAAAACATGCTTCATAGCATCTTTGAGACCTTCGAAAATGGTCTTCTAGAAGAAAAATCACTCTTTCACCTCCAACTTGAAACATACTGATGTCATGCTCCAAACTCCAGATATAGGCCTTCGAAGTTGGTATCTCAAAACAGTTTTCTGCCTTAGCCATTTTCTGGCAGTTTTCCAGTTTTGAGGTAGCAACTTTGAGGCCTTGGAAAACAACCTTAATGACTTCTTCTTGAGCATCCTAGCATACCAATGTGTAGATAATCACTTCATGTTCAATACAAGACATTAAACTTGAGAGAAACGTGCCTCCAAAGTCGGCTACTTGAACACGGAAAATGACTTGGACAAAAATGAATGTTCTTCGGGCAGGTTGATCTTGCTTCTTCATCACGTAATTCTAACTTGTAGAGTAGACCATTTGGGATCATATCAATACTCATAATGATGTATATGATAAGCTCTGGGATGAAAATCTTCACTCCAAGGCCGAAATCCAAGCTTGAATGGTGAAACCCAGCTCCAAAATCGATCCTTTGGCTTGGTCTACATGTTTTCACTCTCTAAAACTCTATTTTTGCTCAGAATCTGCCAATTTACCCAGATACTGGGCGAAGCACGGGCAAGAGCATGGTCGTTCTTTCTTCTGTAACTGTGCTTTGACCAAACACCGCGTTTCACTCAAGTAGGGACGGGGAAAACCCTTGACAGTATTTAGTAAAGCACGGTCATGCTTTAGTCTTTGCCTGCCCGTGCTTTGCTTTCCTTCAACCTTCTTTAAGATGCCAGCCTCGACGATAAAAGCATGGTTGTGTCGCTGGTGAAGCACAATCGTGCTTTTGGGGAGCTTGCCCATGTCTGCCACTCCATGCTTGGGCAAGTAAACACCCGCAAGACTCAAGAGAAGCACGGTCGTGCTTCTAGCAGGAGACGATGGTATTTTGTCTCTGGAATCGCCAAGTGATCTCCGAACGAC